GGCCTCTGCCCTGCCCTATGCATGAATATCTAATCTAATCATAATATATTATTGAAGGGAATCATGCATTCCCTCAATTAAAAGCCAGCTGCAAGCCTATCATAACATGTTTAAATAGTATTAGTTGTAAAGGGCAAGATAACAAAAATCCAATTTATAGTTTGTAGGGCTTGAAGGAGTACTGCATTTGCATGTTGTTGCTTTTGGTGGGAGGTTGGGAATGGGATGGTAAACTTCCTTGGAGCTAGAAAAAGCGAATTCACGGGCTACAAACTACTCACTTGGAAGGAAGGAACCAAAAGAAAGATTCACCTGCAACTAAAAGAGAGAGAGAGAGAGAGAGAGAGAAAGAGAGAGAGAGAGAGATGAATGATGGGTAATACATACATAGTAATAGGCAGCAGCAGCCCAGCTAGGAGTGGTAGTGTTGATGCAAGAAAGAAAAATTATCTTGTAAAGGGGAATTTCCATCGAAAAGACATATCAACTAACAACTTTTGCTGTCTAGCTTCCTCTTACTTTCGTTTCGTTGTCCACACTATTACATCACTCTCTTTTTTTGTCAACACACTCTTACACAACTCACACTACTCAAATATGTGTTTTGAGCTTAAACATCTAATCTTACACATAAGTTGGTTAAGATTTTAGGGCCGAAGTCAACGGTCTACTACTACTCACACCGATATTGTCCTAACTTAACTAGTTGCATAACTCACGCACGTGTTTGGATTTTATCACAAATGGCTTTAGTGCATTAGAAGAAAAACCATTCAATATATTTGTAATTTAGCTTGTGAAGTTTCCGACGTGAGACTCTATTTCATTCATGCATCATGCATGCAGCTCAGTGAACCTCAGTAATTGACCTTGTTCAACTCACTCATAACCCAACCCTTCACAATACTTCAGTTGTAGATAATTATAAACGAGAATAGAATTAATTTGAGTTTAGACAATACTTAAGAGATTGGCTTAAGTAAAAATCGATTAGGAGCCATCATCAATTCCCATTAACATTGGATGTTAAGAAAAAGGTAACGACACCCTTTTACACAGGACCTCAGTAGGGTTAGTGGTCCAACTGGTTACACTTTCAACCAAATAAATACCAACAAAGAGGAGGCCCTAAAGTTGTTTGAAGGTCAACTCATGCCGTTTGTCCTTAGAATCCAAACTTTTCAAGCTTCAACCCGAGGCCCTAAGCCCAAACCCGTATAAGATTTTCTATTTTGTTAATTAATTAAACTTTTATTTTTACACACCGGTTTTGACTCTTATGTGTGGTATTCATTCTCGTTGGGCTCTTGGAATCACATCCAGCAATGGTTGGAATAGGTTGCAAATCCAACCACTTTACCTACTTCATTGCCCCTAACCGTTTCTCGTACCTCTATTGAAATATAATGGTTTCTTGTTCTTTCATCGATTGGTTATTCCTCTCCGTTGGTATCTCTTTTTCCAATTTTGGTCTCAATTAGTTTACAAGATTGAATGATAACATTAGTGAGTTAAATTGTTAGTTATTATAGACCATACACTCAAAGAATTCTAACTTGCTACCTAAAATCATTGTTAATTCATCGTCATTTTATTGACGAAAATTTTTTAATTGCCACAAGAATTTTTTGGACCAATTTACACCCGTATAGCATACTACCGACGACTATGTATAGTTTTTTGTTCAAATCCCTAACCATTACAACAATGGACCTCTTGCAGTGTGACTGGAAAAATACAAAAACTAAATTACAAAGGTTTCCTGTTGCAGTTTCTCTATCGGCAGATCAACACCAGCAACAATTGAAAGACGATAACGACACCAGCATCAACAACAACAACAACAAAAAAAAAGAAGCCAATTCTGTGCTTATGACGACCTTTCAACACATACTGAAAAGAAATACAAACCTTCACGCAAGTAATACTCAATGACATAAAAGAACCATACTTTTATACAGCTACATTCTATTGCCCTGTAATTTTTCTTATTTCACTAATTACATTGGAAACAAAGGAATACCATATTTTTTAGCCCAATTATGAATGAGTAAAGGTAAGAGCTTTCCAACTCCATGTCACTCATACCACAAGAAGCTCAATAAAAGTAAGAAAAGGCATCTGATCGACAATCCTCACAGGGGCAGCTTCCACTTCGGCGTATCGATTAGAAACCGCTGGAGTCGAACTCCCGTGGAGCTCATTTCTCAAATCCGCCGATATTTTGGCACACTTCTGCAAAGCCTTCCCAACCACATCGTCGTCCTCCAACTCCTCTACCTCCTCATCCTCTTCCTCACTCGTTGACTCAATATTAGCCCAATCCCCATCGCTATCCTCGTCCTCGACCACAAACCTATGCCCACGATTGACCGGCCTAGCCTCCGGGATCTCGTCGGCGTCATCGTTCTTCAATTCATTCTGAATAACGACGCAATCGGAGTCGTCGTCAGCCAGTTCGTGTTTAATCTCGACGCAATTGGAATCGAAGTCCTTATCGTCTTGGGAGAGCTGTTGGGGCTTGGAGGCTGATCGGAAGGCGAAAGACTCGATCGGCGGCTGCCCTGGGGTGCGAGACTTCTTGAGGACACGGGAGGGGTTGAAGGCGGAGGAATGCAACTCCCAGTCCTCGTCAGATATTTTGAAATCGTCGAACCTGCGCTTCATGTCAGGGGTTTAAAAAAAATGGTGGAAATGGGGGCAATGGAAAACCCTAATTGCAAATTAGGAGGGAGGGAGGGAGTTTGTAGTGTAACTAATTTGGTAGCAGTATAATAAAAGGTGGGAGCTTCCTCTACTTTGGAAGTGCAACGGGAAGGGTTGGTTTAGGGAAAATGGAGTAAAAACTTCAATCTTACTTTGTTTTAGCATTCTTTTTTATCAGAATTAAAAGTACGTTGTTGTCTCTTAATATGCAAAATCATAAGTATATTGCTATATTGTTTGACTAAGATTAAAAATATATTATCTTATGTGATTCGGGATAATAAAAATATTGATATGTTGTTTAATTAGAATTAAAAGTACGTTATCGCTTTATGTGATATGATATAAGTACTTTATTAAAAAAAAAAAGGGTAGCACGTTATCAAAGTAGTTTTCTAGAATGTAAGATAAAAGTGTTAAATTTTACTATGGGGTTTAAGCGATTAAGAACATTTACCATATACATTTAAAGTCTTAAGTTCAATTGTATAAAAAAAATAAACAAAAACATAAGTGTCATTCATTGGGCTAACTTCAAGGCCAGGTACTCAGTAAGAGGCCCACTATTGTTCAAAATTTTGGGCATGAGTTAGGGGCTTTTCATTTTCTACGTAACAAATTCAGTTTGGGCTTTTCTTGAAAAATAATTTTGTCGGAGTGTCAGACTGTATAGTGATAGTATAAGTTTTTGTTGCAACATTGTTTTTGTGTCAACAATTTGGTTAACTTGGAGTTAGTATTACACACTGTTTTTTATAAACGATAGTGTCAATGTGTAAAATTGTTAGGAGAGAGTGAGATCGATGGGGGTAAAACTCGCACCAGGGTGTATATTATATACAGAGTAAACGCTCTTAACCACTTGAACTACAATTTCTCTACAATATTACAATTCAATGCTCCTCGTCCTCTTGGGTCTTCAAAAATGACGAGTCAAAGTCGATAATTATTGGAATACCACTAAAAACAAGTATTAGTGTTTTCTGCGAATTTCCTAATGGGTAATGCTAAGGATATAAATTTGTAGACATAATTTTGTAAACTTAATGACATAAAAGTTGATGATTGGATTATTACTTAACCGTTGATAAACATGTTCATTTCCAACTGGTGACACATCATTTGGTTTGTAAATTTTGTGTACAAATTTAGTCTCCTTAACTTTTTTCTTTGGTAATTATAGTATGATGAGGTTTTGAATGGTTTGCACATCATGCATTTTAGTTTCTTTCTTTCTATGGTAGACCAAAATAACATAGTCTACTATCGTTTTGATTGAAAGGAGTACCAAAACAACATGCTTAAGTGCACCACTACCACTAAGAGTTTTGAACTTTATGCTCATCTTTCCCTTGACCAATTTTACTTCGTTGGATTCACTTTTTCTCTTTGTCAACTTTGCTTCTAGATTTAAAATTTGTGAGGCTTCGGATTCATGAAATTATGGGTTTGGAAAATACTATTTATTTAGCTTGTGTATTTCATGAGCTGCGGTGAGGGCAAAAGCAAAGTGAGTGGCCAACTTGCAAGCATTTCAATTTGTAAGTACAACTACTCCTCTCCACCATTTCGGATTCAACAATTTGGTGATCACTTTGTTGATCATTTCAAAAAAAAAAAAAGGAGAATATATATATGGTTTGCTCATGCATCATGAATACTGTGAATCTCGATCTTCTCCATTATAATACATGCAATATAGAAATTTATTTCACATACATTCATTTTTGAAAGATAATACAAATATAAATCATTGGGGTTTAGCTACAAATTCAGGATTTGAAACTCTCATTTGTAATCAAATGTGTACGCATCGGTTACGCATGACTTACACTAACTCACAGTTGAAGCAGCTATGGCTATAAACTTCCATTAGTTCTTTTGCATGTGAGAATTTTACAAGAACTGATCGTGAAGAGAGCGAAAAGAAGAAGAATGTCAGATCAGAAAGAACGAACCGTTGACTTCCAAATAACACACAATATTAAGATCTTACCATCTTATATGTAGATCGAGTTAGTCATCTCTTAATCCATATAGACATAGAATTATATAAGTTCCGTAACACTACACCGATATATATTTAAAATCATAATCCCAAAAGATGAGTTGCATGATGCGCAAAATCAAAGGGAACTGTTATTGACACTTAAAAAAAAATCTCATTTTGAGTCACAAATGTATTTTTCTTTCTAAATATAGAAAGTTTGAGATGCAAAATGAGATTTTTGGAGTACTAATAACAATTCCCTAATCAAAATATACGTAGCATTAATATGAAAACCTGACGTATATTGATTAGCAGCAGCTTCATGGGACCTTAATTAGGCTACAGCCATAATACGAAAGATATAGTTACTTCCCATTCTTTTGAGAAGATATAAGTTACATGCACTGACCAATTTTTTTGCTACATTAAAATTATTACATTGGCCATAAGAAAATATGAAACATATATACTTAAATGTATCATTTATATGCACTTGGTTTATCTATACAAACTTCCTCTATATGTTGGTGTCCAATAGTCTGATCCTGTATTTTCACGATAAACTTGAGGCGTACATGAAACAGGCACCAAACATAGGCCTTTGCTCTTGAGATCAACCTTTGTATCTCCCTTGTGATCTTTTCTTTCCATCACCCATGGATCCTAATTAAAATAACACTAGTTAATTATATGTACAAATTGTTGAAGTACACTGATTAGAGTGTGTGTGTGTGTGTGTGTGTTTCTATATATGTTTTATATACATATATATACCTTTGGTGAATTTGTCTTCAAATAAGGGCTATTCAATAGCTGCAAAAAAATTATGGAAATGTAGATTAATTCTTATTAGTTGGAAAATAAAATTGTTTTCAAAGAACAAATTTAACAAGAGATTATGATAGCATACCACGTGCACTTGTTCTTGCAGGAACTTAATGTATTGAATCGCTTCGTATAGTACTGATGCCGTATCAGTCTGAAATTTAATCAAATTATGATAGTTTAAAATATGACAAATATGATCACCTGCAGTTAATTAAGGAATGAAACATCTGCATAACAAATTAATCCAGTTGAAATGAAATAATTAGCAGGTGAACTTGTGCTGCTACTTTCCGCTCACCTTTCCAAATGGAGACACGATTTGTTGAAGGGCCGTGATCCTGTCCCCAAGCTTGACTTTTGGTGCCTGCATCTGTTGATCCAATATACATTAGTTTATAATTTCATGAGCAAAAGTTAATGTAATCAATTAATTAACAACGATCAAGCATGATTTATTGTCTTTTGCCTTTTTTATTTTGTATGTTAAGAGTACCTTTACAGATGAAACTGTAGAAGTTTCTTGCTTAGGCTTTTTCACGACTGTTTCTGATGATGTGTCGTCCGTTCTTTTCTTTTTTCCTTCATTTGCAATTCCCTGTCCTCTTCCACCACTCATTCTTGCCTGCGTGTAGTATATATATGCATGTAATTAGAACCTGTCCTCCTCCACTACCCATTCAATTATATATACATATATAATATACAATGAGCTTCAGTTCAGATATGGCTCAAATAAGCTTAGGCGCGCAATTATACACACACATACACATAAAGAAGCTCAAGGGATCAGATATACGAGGCAAATTTAAAATCATTAGCTCTAAGTAAGTGAACAAAAAAATTAAATTAACTAAATATTGAGCTTACCGACGAAGAAGTTTGCAGGTTTTGCTTCTTAGAATGATCAGAAGAGTTCAAAGTTTTGAAACAAGGCTTAGGAGCATGAAGGTCGTTCAAGGGCTTATTTCCTAATCGACTCGTAAAAGATATAACATCTGCAAAATTTCTGGCAGCATTAGTACTAGTGCATGAGGAATAAGAATCCGGCAAGATTGATCCATTTCCATTGAAGTACTTGCTATTATGATGATCTGCAGCCATTGGGTTGTCGAGGCCAATCTGATATTCAATGCCATTAGGGTGTCCATGGTTCTGATCGTCTACCTTCATATTTTGACTGCGGTAACACGAAAATAAACTGGATGCCGAGTTTCTATTTGTAATTCCCATCTGAGGATTGCATGATGAGGTGGAATCATTAAAAAACGGTTGCGGCTTTAAGTGACAGAGATTTGGTTGTGAGTAGTGATGATCATGATCCATTACTTGATGAGGAGGAAAATTGTTGAGTACTAGTTGTGGTTCTGGGGGTGCAATGGACCAACTGCTGACTAGATTAGACAACTTGGTTAACCTTTCGTTCTCAATACTAATATTCATGTTGTTATCCATGAATCCTCCATTTATTTGCTTTTCAAAATTGTTGAAATTGGAGGCGGCTGAGTTTGTGAACTCCCAAGTACTATTGTTGTCCAACTTCTTCAAGTAGTCACAAGCAGGCTCATCGTACATAACATGATGAGTTGACAAGCCCTTGGATGATAGTGCATCTATGAAGTTCTCTCCAACACCATGATCATTGTTGCGTAAATCATGGTTTGCATTAACGCTTCTGCATGCACGGTTCAATCAAAATTTAAATTAATTAAGTACCATATATATGCCGAAATTAATGTAGAGATGCATATATATACATAAACACGGCTCAAGTTCTACTGGAGTTGGTCCATGTGGTGAGGATAGATATGGTGATAGGTAGGATATGCTAGGCTCAAGGGTAGAACCCTGCTACGTAAGGAAAAATAAAAGGACAGTTCAAGTTTATCTGAGATTATGTAATTCTTTTGATTAATTACTAGCTAATTAGTAATAAATATGTTAGAGAAAATTTAATTAGTTACTTACAATAGGACATGGTTCCAAATATGATTATCAGAGACCTGTTCGCCATTAATCAGGTCGTCGTTGGAAGAAGCAGAACGTTGATCAGCAAGCAGTCTACGAGAGGAGTCGACGCTGAGGCTTGAGTGGTTGGAGGCATTGGTAAAGGAAGTACTGGAGATTGAAACATCCTGATCAACATCATCACAATTATTATTAGAAGAGTTGGAGTACTTCTGATTTAGTTGCTGCTGCTGCTGCCATGGGTTGGTAGAGCTGACGAGATCCCACCAGTTTTGTTGCGTTAGCTGCGCAGAGGAAGAAGAGATTGCAACACCGCATTCTTCGGCCATTTGTTCTTAACGTTGTTCAGTCTCTCTCTCTCTCTGTAATGGAATGTTGTGGTGGAGGGTTTGGAAGGGATTGGGATATATATGCATATCCGTTGGGTGGTGACGTACGGCGTTTGTAGGCTTTATCCATCAATAACAAGGGGAGACAATAAAATATGGCCTCAGTTTTTCCACTAAAGTTCGTGGGCAATTATTAATTTATATAAGGACATAAATAACAAGCCAATACCCAAGTGCTTGGTTTTAGGTTTAGGGTTTCCCGATGCCCAAGACCAAGAATTCGGTTTTAGGGTTAGGGTTTCCTAATGCCTCTCGATTGGTTTATTTTTCTTTATTCTTCGCTAAGAAATTAAAACAACTTTTTTTATATTGATAGGGCGCCTGACACGACACTACTACTACTGATTCGTAAGCAATGAGGAATACGTACGTTCAGTACTTTTCTCAAATACAATTGATCAACTTATACATAAATGGTCGCAAATGCAAATTAGTTTATATTTAAAAAAAAATCACAATAGTCGTGACATTAGTTCTGCAGAAGTTGATAAAGGCATATCCAAACACACGTACCAGCACAATAACTGAATTAATCACGTAAGTACCAAATTTGCCCCATACAGTTTAAGATTAGAACTCAAGTTTTAGGTCATTGGAACTTGTATATTTTATTTCTCTATATATCAGAAGAAGCTATGTGTTTTACTACTAGAGATCAACACAATGGGCTAAGATTGAATAATGGACCTAATTGGACCTTGATGATAAAATGGTCAGAAATTAAAATCGCTATTGCTTAATAATTTATTAATATGTTTATTATCTTTTACTTTTATTTTATATTTAACAAATGCAGTCCCTTTAAACGAAAGGTGTAGTTTCTTGGCCTTTGCATGTATGTCAGTGAACATGGTCTAGTTGGTGGGTGTTTTTATTGAGTGGCAATCTGCATCATTCTACATCAAGTTCCACTTGGGAATTTTTTTCCACCTTTATAATTTCGTTCTCTACCACCATTAAGGGCCATTGGCTGCCGAAGGAAGGAAGCATTTTTAAATTTATTAATTAGACAATGTCAGGCGAACGAATACATGGTCATATATTTGATCCGTATTTGCTTTTAATTAAAATGTTCTTGTTAGGTAGCTCTAGCTTCAATATCATCCACCCAATGTATCTAATATTTCTAATCTCTAGGCTTGGAGTGGAAAGTTTGATAATAGGTGGGGACTGGATACATATCATAGGTTAGACGGTGTTATACATTTAAATTACTTAATTTGATTCCTATTTAGACAATATTGAAAAGTTCATATTCTTTTATATAATTAACTAGTATATGCCTACACTATTGCCATAGTCATTTTCTTGGTGGTTTCTGTCAATGGATTATGTGACATCCCACATCGCCCAGGGGTGATCCTTAAATGTATATTCCCATCCCTACCTAGCACGAGGCCTTTTGGGAGCTCACTGGCTTCGGGTTCCATGGGAACTCCGAAGTTAAGCGAGTAGCGCGCGAGAGCATTCCCAGGATGGGTGACCCATCGGGAAGTTCTCGTGTGAGTTCCCAAAAACAAAACCGTGAGGGCGTGGTCGGGGCCCAAAGCGGACAATATCGTGCTATGGTGGTGGATCGGGCCCGGGAAGTGGTGTCGCCCGGGCCGGGATGTGACAATTTGGTATCAGAGCCTAACCCTGGTCGCGAGTGTGCCGACGAGGACGTCGGGCCCCTAAGGGGGGTGGATTGTGACATCCCACATCGCCCAGGGGTGATCCTTAAATGTATATTCCCATCCCTACCTAGCACGAGGCCTTTTGGGAGCTCACTGGCTTCGGGTTCCATGGGAACTCCGAAGTTAAGCGAGTAGCGCGCGAGAGCATTCCCAGGATGGGTGACCCATCGGGAAGTTCTCGTGTGAGTTCCCAAAAACAAAACCGTGAGGGCGTGGTCGGGGCCCAAAGCGGACAATATCGTGCTATGGTGGTGGATCGGGCCCGGGAAGTGGTGTCGCCCGGGCCGGGATGTGACAGATTAGTCATCGCAACTCTTTTTTTGCAGAATTATTTGTAATTATTATTGGTGTAGAGTTTGCATATCAGCTGGGTTGACATTGTCTTTGGTTGGAAAGTTACAGCTCTAGTGTTGTTTCTGCTCTTTAATTGTCTGATTTTGATCCTCCTTGGCCTCTTCGTACGTAATGGTCCATTTGTTTGGACTGTATTCAGAAAATGACTTTCTACGCATCTCACATATATTGGGAACAAAATTTTGTTGTAGACAATTTTGCTAACATGGGCTTGTCTTCTCCAACATTAACTTGGCATGATTCTCATCCACTAGCGGCTCGTGCTGCATTGTTTTCAGACTATGTTGGCTTGCCTGACTACTGTTTATCAAATTAATGTGAATTTAGGCATCCAGGTTTAGACCTTTAGGTTTGGTTTTAGAGGGGTAAGGTTTCATGTCCTCCCCCTCTTTTCTTTGTATCTTTCTTTGTTTTGTTTCTAGAAGGGTAAGGTTTACGTCCCCCCCCTTTCTTTTTCGTGTATTGTTTTTATTATCCCTATTTTAGGAGGGGTAATGTTTATGTCCCCCCTGACTAGGTGTAACTTCTTTTTTCGTTATCAATAAAATTTCCCTTGCACCGTCGAGGTTTCCTAAAAAAATAAGCTAGTATATGCCGCACACAAAATGTGCGTGGAACATATTATTTTTGTTTTTAAAATTGAAGGAGAGAGGAAGAGAGTGAGAGAGAACGTGGGAGTGGGGAGGGAGGGAGAGAGGTTTATTTTTAATTTTTGTAAATTAGAGAGATTAAAGTCACCTGTAGTGAGACTTAAACAACAAAAAAAAAAAAAAGCAAAATTTTGTCTTATGAAATTATGTTACTGCCTTTACCTATTTTGTTATGATAGAATACTAAATAGTCTTTTCATACTCTTTTGATTGACAAAGAGAGTTCTATTAATATGTAGTTTAGATTTAGATAACTAGTATTGTGACGTCAATTGCTTTATGAGAAATGATAAGAGGACTCTCTAAAAATGAGACTTTCCATGAACTTTCTACCACCTCATGTTTTAACACAATGTTTTATAATGTTAGCACATGAAGTAACATTAATTTATGAGGTGGCAAATAGTCCATAAATAGTCCCACTTTGAAAGAGTTTCCTTAGCATTCCTCTTGCTTTATATATAATTCATAAATAAAAGATATATGGATATAAATTCTAGCCATCTAAATGAGGAAAAATTTTTAATTGTGACGGGAACACAGTTGGTACACCACGTGTTTTATGCAAGTAGTGGCAAATTATATTTTTTAAGTTACTAGCTTTTTGACATACATATCCCATTATTTATGTAATGACATGTGATGTACCACCTCGTATGACGGTCACACTGAAAAATCTCTCATAAATGAAGATGATAACCATCGAACCATGTCAAATTAGCTTTGTTTATTACCATCTTTTTGGTAAAACGATATGCTCGGTAAGACAAGAAAGCATTTTTCCATGTATTTGCATATAACAACTTGCTTACGTCTTTAAACATCAATATCAACACCGATGAAACAAATAGACGACTAAATTATAGCTGCATTATTTATGTAAAATGCGACTAAGGATGGAGTTAGAAACTTTCTTTAGTAGGGGCGACCTTAACCTCTAGTTATACTTGAGAAAAAAAATTCTTGATAGTAAAATTTCTTCTATAATATCATTGCTTTTCTCTTTCTTCTCAAATTTCATTTAGCCAACTTGTATACATTTTTTTCACAATGACAGCTTGTTGTACATATTATTGAAAATTCAACTAATCAGTTAAAGTACTTAAATACGATAAAATCAAGTTCTATAAGCATCGTGATTTTTTTCCTCTCACTAGTAAAAAAAAACCCTTGCGTGACGAAACACACATTGTCGCGTATAGCCACTTTGCGCGACAAAACAAAAATCATCGCTCAAAGTCATTTTGGGTGACAAATTTTAAAATTCGTTGCGCAAAGTCTTTACAAAAATAAAAAAATTATTTTTTAAAAACCTTTGTGCGACGAAATCCATATATTTCATCACCTAAATCAATTTTTTTATTTTTATTTAATTTTATATCATAAATTTTAAAATATAGTTATTTTAAAAAAAAATTATTGTTTTTTAAAAACTTTGATCGACGAATATCAATATTTCGTCGCCTAAACCGTATTTATTTGTTTTTTTATTTAATTTTATATTTATATTATTCAACTAAATATTTTCTTTGCGCGACGAATCAACATTTGCTCGCCTAAACCCTATTTATTTTAATTTATTTATATTTTAAATTTTAAAATAAAATTATTTTCTTTTTTATTATTTATAAAAATTATTTTTTTAAATTTTGCGCGATGAACATATATTTCATTGGGCAGAATCCTTAAATTTGGGCGGGTGCCAAAAATGGGACGCGGGAGTTTTTTTTAAGACTTTTCGCGACGAATCTTTCGTAACGCAAAACTTTGCGTGACCAATATTTCGTCCCGAAAAAGTGCGGTTTTTAAAACCAAAATAACTCCTACACAATTTTCTCAATGTCTTTCTCTATTCTCTTACCTCTTATCTTCTTCCCTTTCCTCAAATCCGACCCACTCTCTCACACTCACTCCTCTCACTTAATCTTTCTTCTCTCTCTTCTTTATCTCTCACTCTCACTCACTGTCTTATCTTTCTCTCACTATGTCCTCTAACTCTCTCACACTCACTCCTTTCTCTCATTCTTACTCACTCTCAATCTTGCCAAAATGTATCTTTCATTAATATGTGTTTTTGGAGTTAATAAATTGGATTTGGTGTGGGGTGGAGTTTGGGGTATGCCAATTTTAGGGGAGATTATGCCCATTTTTTGGCATATCCCCCGCCACTACCACCACATTAGACTTGTATTAGGATTTTAATATTATACTTTGTTAATTTATGTGTACATTTTTAATATAATATATAGGGTAAATTACATAAAACTACCTCAACTATTGGGTCAGTCACAATTTCATTCCCCA